GTTTTTAAAAAGATATTTATTATGTAAAAATAGAATTGAATAATATATTTAAAATGATTAAAAAAATTAATGTAAGAATTTTAATGATAAAAATATCAAAAAATATATTTGACAAGTAAATCTAAAGAAAAAAGAACAAATAAAATACTTAAAAAATTTTCCTATTGAAATTGAGATAATAATAAATTTAATATACATAAATATCTATATATTTTTATAAAATTGTATATATCTATATATTTGTATTTTTATATAATTTATAATATTACCATATATAATAAATATATTACGTATAATTAGAATATGACAATTTTTAGAATAAGTTGTATGCATTTAAATAACAAAATATATAATATAAAATATAAACTATAAAAAAATATGAAATAAGAAAAAAGTATGATGTAAAATGAAATAACTTACCTGACAACCAGTTTCCAGATTCGCGTACATTCCAGGTACGAAAGGAACGTGTGCGCATGAAAAACTCGTTGGAGGTACACTATGATACAAGGGATAGTCTACACCAGGGATACCAGGAATTTTACTAAAATCTTGCTGATTTTTTGATTTTTCAATAGCTTTCACAACAATTGGTCTATCAAATTTTATTATTGGTTGAAAATTTTGATATTCATTGTAATTGTAATTTTGTTCATTGTAACTTTGCTCTTGTTGATTGTAATTTTGTTCTTGTTCGTTATAATTTTGACGTTCATTAATATCATATTCTGCGACCACTATTGGATGCTAAATAACAAATATTTCATTGTGCTTATATTAATTTGTTTAAAAAATAATTATAAATTAATTAAATATTAATTAAATATTAATAATTTATATAATTAATATAATAATTAATATTATATATTATTTATATTATAATAAAAATATTTATATAATTAATAATTAATAATAAAATATAGATAATAATAAGAATAATAATATAAAATTTAAGATAATATANTATTATTTTTTAACATAAACTATAATATCATACTTTTAAATTTTTTAAATATTTAATTATAATCTAAAAATAATAAAATTTTAATATTTTTTAATAAAATTTATTAATGATAAACGATACGGAATGAATTAATTTATTATTACATATTTAATATTATTAATTGTATAATATAATAATATTATATAATATCTATATTACATAATATTTATATTATTTATATTTTAATTAATTAATTCAAAAATTTTATAAAAATTATTAAATTCTTAATATTTATCTTAAATTTTTAATAATTAAAATTTTAAATCCTAAATAAATTTTAGACTATATCAAAATAATAAATAATAAGATTAAAATTTAATATTAAAACTAATACTATAAAAAATTCTTTAATGAAAAAGTAATTCGTACCTGTAAAGAAGTAGTGTCTACTGTTAACAAAAAAATAGTTAACAATAATATTATCAAGTTGCAGTATTTTCTTGACATGTCTGTACTGAACGTAATAATAAACGAAACTAGTCCAGTTTTCAACGTAGTTCAGTGTTCTGATTCTTGAGTTCCGACTCTCCAATGCTTAAAACATTATGTCACAGTAAGAGAGAGAAAGTCCTGTATATAACTTGAGCAAAGACTATTTTATTGATTTTATATGTACAATATTTAATTACCACGCGAAAAAGTGATAAAAAAGTTTTATGTACACTTTCACAAATCTATTATACCATTCTCTTTCTTTTGTTTTTTCTATCTTTACATGAATGTTAATTTTTCGAAAAAAAATATTATAAAAAAGATTTCTTAAATAAATAACATATCACATAGAATAAGTTATATAATAATATTTTTAAATTATGAGAAATTATTTTAATTGAATTATTATATTGTCATAGTAAAGAAAATACTATACATATATGTTTAATTATTTTAGTTACGTTTAATTCTTTTCTTCTAAAATTTCATTCATCTAAAAATATATTTTCATGTTAAATTTTTAAAATGATATAAAAATATAATGAACTAGATATAAATATTTTAAATTAAAAAATTTTTATTAATTTTGTTTTATTCAGATCGAATATTTATATTAGATTGATATATTATAAATCACCATTCGATGCACAATTCAATTTCAATTATTTTAAAATATTTATTTTAAAATATTTATTTTAAATATTTAAAAATAATTTTTTTTATTTGAATAAAAAAATTTAAAAGATTTTAGTGATTTAATAATTATTTATAAATATTAAAAATAATAATATTTTACTTTTTTAAAATCAATATGTTTGAAAACACTGAACGAAAATATTACAAAATCATAAAATATATGGATGATCAAAAAGAGTATTTTATTTATAAGAATGTTATAAATTTTTGAATTTGATATTGAGAACTTTATGATCTCAATTCGAATCTAATAAAAATTTTTAATTAGATTTTTTTTCTAAATTTTTTTTAAATTTTAAGATGATAATAGCATAATCACAATTAAAGATTGCAAAAATGTAATAATATAAATCTATTATTTTATTAAATTAATAATTATTATTATTAATTTAAATTAAATTTTGTATATCGTGCAAATACATTATATATATAACATGTATATTACATTATATAACATTATATAACATGTATGTATATTATATTATATTTTTTAAATACGTACATAATATTTATATATTAAATTATATTGATTTTAAAATTAAATACAAGACTTTCAATTTTTATTTCCAAAAACTAAGATTTCTATAATTTTTCAATTATAAATTTTTGATATTAAAAAAAATTCAATTATAATGATAGCAAACCTTAAATTTATTAATATGTAATTATTTTTTATACAATCTCAAATCGAGATTTAAAAATTATAAATATATTTATTATTATTAATATATTTATTGTTAAATTGTTTATAGTTTATTTTATTTTATTATTATTATTGCTTATTATATGTTTTAATATTAATAATTTTCTTTCTTTTTAACAATCTTTTATTTTTAATTCATCATATTGTTGCGAACATCATCATACATGAACTGCAACACAAGAAGCAACAAAATAGTAGATAATAATATTTAAGATATCGATTTAATAGAATTAATCCGAAATGAAGAATGGATTTATTCTTCTCTGCTCTTTACAATATAACTTACAATATATATTTTTGTAAATTGTATATGTAAATTGATCTCTATATATATTATATTCCATCATTTAAAATTATTTAAAATATATTTTATATTGTAAATAATGATAATATAAAACTAGTAATAATAATAAATAATAATAATAATAAATAATAAATAATAAAACTAATTTTCGAACTCGCGCAATACTAATGTCAGGAATGAAATGCTTGAAAATTTTTTCTCTAAGAGGATAAGAGAACATTAAATACAAGTTTAAAGAATAATTTAATTTTGCAGAATGGCAATTCTGAAACAATCACTGAAATATAAAATTCAACAAAAGCAGACTGTTAACAAAATAATAATTTTCAAATAATGAGAAAAGAGAAAATTAGACAAATATTGTAAATAATTAATCTAACAATAACATAAATAGTAAAATTTTTGCGGCCAAATTTATCCAGATTATTACTAATATTGCTAATATTTTGTTTTCAATGCTTTCTTTCTATGCGAGAATAGAAAATTATGTTAATTACATATCACATTTGCATATATAATAATATTATAGAAATAATTTGTGTGATAAATTATTTTATATTATTAATTATTAATTATTTACATTTATATACAAATGTTTATTTATTTATTTAAAAAATTATTCGAATCAATTTGTACATAATAATTTAATTAATATAATAATTTGAAAATTTAATATAATATTATGTTTTAATCAATGATATAGATAGTGATAATGATATAGAAAATTTTAAAAATAAACATATATAAAGAATTTGAATTTTATTGTATAATATTATATAATAATTTAATA